ATATGTATTTAACTGTATTAGTTGAACCAGGAATAATTCCAAAAATAGTTAGTTAAACATTTTGTTTTCTTAATTTTTATTAAAAAATTAAAGTCTGGTAAATTAGAACTAGAATAAGAACACATAGATATTCCTTTAAAATAAATGATTAAAACATAACAATATTAATATAAATGGTTATTATATTTAAAGCAAAATAAATCGCATTTGTTAAAATTGAAATTTTGTAGAACATGTAATAACTTTTAAATAAATATTTAAAATACAAAAAAATATATTATAAGGTGCTATATGGAGACCTCCAAGAGCTTCACATTGTCCATGTTGTAACCATTGTGTATAAAAGTTTGATCATCATTGTCCTTGGTTGGGAACTTGCATTGGAAAAAGAAATTATAGGTTTATTTTTATTAAATCAAAAATAAATAGCTTTAATTTTTTCATTAATATTAAAGATATTTTTGCTTATACCTTTTCTTTTTATCAAATTTATGTATTGTATTGATTCTTTAGAACTTATACATTTTTATTTAAATACATAAGGTATTTTATAATTTAGATTATAATTTAATTTTTAATTTAAAAGAAAAATAGTTATGATTTCATTAAAATTTTTTAATAAAATTTAATAATTTCTTTAATTAGTTTGTATGCTTTTATGGTAAATAAAAAAATAAATTTACTCATTTATTTACTCTTTTGATAAATAAAAAATAAAGTTTTTTATCCCTATTATTTGTCTATTTTTATTTCATTTGAAAATATCTCTATAAAGCTTAACAACAAATGAATATATAAAGAGAAATTGGGAAATAAATAGTGGAAATCCATTCAAAAAGTTTATAAAAAATACCAAATATTTAATTTTTTTTCTTTTTTTTTTTTAAGTAATCAACATATTTAAAATTTATTGAATTTTTTTATGGCGTTAAAATAATAAGCAAAGCAAACTTTTAAAATTATTTATATTTCAACCGAAATTATTACGAAAAAAGCTTGACTTTAGAAGATTAAGAAGATTTTTGTTATAAAAATAATTATTAAATTAGTACTTAAAATTAAAATTTTTAATTTACAAATCAAGAAAATAATTTTTTATTTACAGATTGTCAAGTTAAGCTTAATAGTAAAAAAATATATAAAATTCATATATACTATTTAATATATAATTATTAAAAGAAAATATCTAAGGATAAATTATTAATTAAAACTATCTATAAGCTTAAAATAATAATTAAAATCATCAAAAACAAATTTAATTAATTAATATTTAATCTTCAGTATAAAAAAATATATAGACTAATAATTAATTAAAGAGCTAAATAATTTAGGATTATGTTTATTAAGGAGATGATGAATCATAATTAAAATCTATTAATCACATGAATTTTAAAATTTAAGAAAATATAGAATTTTAAGATTAAAATGACAAATTGTAATTATCAAATAAAAAGTAAAAAAAAAAAAATCAATGATAATATTAATTCTGACAAAAAAAAAAAAGTTTAAAAAATAACTATGAACAAGATGAAAATATTAATAGTCCACAAAAATAAAATTCTTTCGAAAAAAGATTAAATTATAATTTTGCTGAATTTAACTATTAAAAGAAAAATAAAAGCAAAAAAATATAAAATTACATACAATAATTATAAATAGATTAAAAAAATGCATAGATTCCAAAATATTATAGAGAAAAAATAAAAAAATAAAATACAGATATAGAAACATCAAAAAACAATTGAATTTATATAATATATAATTAAAAATTAAAAATTTATCATTTTATTTCTTTTAATCTTAACATTTATTATTTTTTAATTTATGTATTTTCCGAATTAATATATTTTAATATTATATTAAAATAAATATAATTAATATAATAAATTTTACATATCTAATAAATAATATTTATTTAGTAAAAAAAATAAAAATATATATGCTATAAAAAAAATGAGTTTTTTTCCTTATATAAAAGATAAAGATGAATTATTTAATTTTTTAGAAACTAATACATATATATAAAATGAATGGATTCCTTTCTAAGAAGAATACATAAACTTAAAGGTAGGTGATATTTCTAAAATAATACCTAAAAGCATTTATGAATATTAAGATGAGCTTGTAAACAAATTTTAAATATATAATTCAAATTTTGAAATTGATAAAATAATGTAATTTTATTTACTTTTAAAAAATGGTAGAATAGAAAAATTTAAAGAATAATAAATAAAAGAAGAATAAATTTAAAAATTAGTAAGAGATTTAACAAATCCATCTTATTTCATAGAAGGAATAGATCCTGATTTTAGTGCTAAAAAAGTAAATATAATAAATAATCTAAAAAAAAGTAATTTTTGTGAAAAGATATTTTTAAATTTATTGAAAATAATATAAACTAAAAAAAACGAATATATAAATTAATTATCATAAAAAAATGATTAAAATAATAATTAAAAAATAGATTAAAGTTTACAAAAAGAAAATATGAATAATAAATAATTTATTTCTGATTTAAGATAAAAATATAAACATATATTATTTTATGAATTTAATCCAAAAATAATAATAGAATAAATTACGAAAAATAAAAACTATTAATAAAACTTTTTATAAGATATGAATAAACTTTTACAAATAGTATATTTTTGTTTAATATAGATAAAATAAACATATATAATTTTAATAATGAGAAAAATAAAAACAATAATAATAATAATAATATATAATAATAATAATAACATAAATATTTCTTAAATATAAAATTAAAAATATAATATAAATTATATTAATAATAATAATGTTGATAATATTAACAATTAAATTATTTAATAATATAAAATTTAATTTTATTTATAAAATAATAATATTGTATAAGGTGATTCTATTTTATAAAATCAATATTAAGCATAAGTTGAATGTATCCTAAATTTATTTCTTAATCTTTCTATAGAATTATATTTTTAAGAATAAATGATAACATTCTATTAATTTCTTGAATATTTAGTATTAAAGATTAATTTTAAAATTTAATAAAAAAATTAATAATTAATAAATATTGCATTAAAAAGAAAATCTAATTAATATTATTAATCAATTTGATATTTATAATATAAACATTATTTTATAAATTATAAACTGAAATTAAATAATATATAATAAAATAAATATTTTTTTATTAAAATATTAATTATAAATATTTAAATACTTATTATATGAATTTTTAAAAGTTATTAAAATTATATTAATATTTAAAAATAATTTTTATATAAACTAAAATTATAATTAATTTTTAAATAAAATAAATATAAATAAAATATAATTTTTAGTTTTAATATTTATTGCTCAATTATTGTAAAAATAATAATATAAAAAAAAAATTATATTTTTTTTAAAAAAAGATATTAAAACACATAACATATATTAATATTAAAAACCTATTAATCTTATTATTTAGATTAAAAAAATCGATAAATTTTTAGCTAATTATTAAATGTAAAATCATTTTAATTTATATATAGAATGTTCCTTTATAAATTAAGTAAATAAAAAAAGAATTTAATTAAAAATAAAGCGAACAATTAATCTAAATATGTTCTAATTTTAAATACTTATGTAAAACAAATTTTAGTTTTCTTTATTATTTAAAAGATTTTAAATATATAATTAATTAATATTTATAATAAGAATTAATTAATAGTAAAATTAAAATTATATATCCTATTTATAAAATTAATTATATTTTTTTAAAATTATTAATTTTTTCTAAATTAAGTTTATTAATAAAATTAAATAAAACTAAGTAGTTTTAATTATGAAGTTATTTAAAGATAATAATAAAATTTAATTATAAAATCATAAAAATAAAAACTTTATAAAGTATTTATTATAACTAATACTAAATCTTAAATATTAATTAGACTAGTTAAAATTTGGAGAGAGAAATAATTAATAGAAAATACTATAGTAAATTAAGTAATTTTTCTGAAAAAAATTATGAAATCTTATTATTTATATAAAGACTAAATATTCCTAATTTTATTTATTAAAAATAGAACAATGAAAATTTAATAGACAATATACAAGATATTTATTATATAAAAAGAATTAATAAAAATAATCAAATTTTTAAGTAGAAGATATAAAATAACTAAAGTATTTTTAAGTTGATTATTTTAGAAAAATAAGAAAATATTTTAAATTAAAGTTAGTTTTAAAAGAATAAACTAATCTTTTTCACTTTATTAGAAAAAATAAAATAGTTTAACAATATTAATACTAGAAACTAAGCTTATGATAAAAAGAAAATATAATTTTTAGTAATCTCTAAAACAATTGATTCAAAAAAAGATTAGAAAAAGATTTTGAAGTTCCAATTTAAAACGGAATTAGTATATTATAATAAAGAAAAAATCAAACGAAATGCCTATCTAAAATAAATAAAAATAATTAATTAAAAAAAGATAAATAAATATTGTTTTATTTAAAATATACAATTAATAAAATTATTTATTAATAAATAAAAGCTAAAAATAAATTTTAAAATTTTTAATCTGAAACGAAATTAAATCTTAAAAGCAAATCCAGTTTATAGAAAAATCTAATTTAGTTAAAGGATAAAATTAATAAAATTTAATTCGAAATAAACAAAAAAGTTGATTATGATAATAAAATTTAAATATGTTTAGGATATAATATTACAAACACATAAGATATTAAAATTTTATTTGATAAAAAAAAAGAATAACTTAAAAATAAAATAATTAAATAAAATGAAAAATGAAATTTCAAAATTTAATATTTAATATTTATTATAAAATATTAAAATCATTATTAATTTTATATAATATATATGTTTATTTCTATTATTTAATATAATAAAAAATTTAGTTTATTTATAAATAATATATTTTAGTTAAATTATTAATTCCTTAAAAAAATAAAATTTTTACATTCAATTTTAATAAAACCATTGTATGTATGATTTTTAGACTTTTTTTTCATATATAATTGTTCCTTTACTTATCATATTTTTTATTTTATTAATCCACTTCTTCCTCATCTAAAAATACATTGTTTAAATTTTCTTTTTTAGGTCCCTAAACAATTAATAAAAATAAAAATAAAAATAATAATAATAAGTTATTACATTACTAGTTTTTTAAATATTTTTAATGGATTTGTCATCCTCACTTAATACAAAATTATCACTAAAATTATTATTAGTTGTTTATTAATGAGATTCTTCTTCATAAATAGTTTTAAGTTTTTACCTTATATTTGCTTTAAATTCTTCTTCCTATTCTTGGATTTCCTATTTTTGTATTTCTTATTTTTCATCTTATAATCCTAATTACTCTTTTAATTTATTTATACTATTCATTCTATTTCCATCACTTATATTTTTTTTTTATTTATCTCTTAAATAACTAGTTCCCTAATCAGTTATAAATTAATGCCTCAATAATTGATAAATATTCCATCTTTCCAAAGGATTAATCTTAAAGCACTTATCGAGAAAATCTTTACATTCATCACTCACGAAATGAGGTATCTCTGGAGGTTTATTATCCTAAGCTATTTTATACATTGTTGATAAAGCATTTCCTAAACCACTAAAAGGAGGTTTACCACTTAACATTTCAATAACTGTTCCTCCTAAACTCCAAATATCTGAAAATCTAAAAAAGTATTTTTTTAAAAAAAAAAATTAAAATAAAAAATCTAAATACCTTCCATAATTTTGTTATTTTATTACTTCTGGAGCCATCCAATTTGCTGTTCCTTATAAACTTAATTATTTTTCTTATTATATTATTTTTTTTGCCTCTCCGAAATCTGCTACTTTACAAACTCCATTATGATCAACTAATATATTTGCTCCTTTTATATCTCTATGTACTATTCCATGATAATGTAAATATTCTAAACCTTAAAGAATATCTTTTGTATACTTTTTAACTATATTTTCATTTAGTTTTCCATATTTATTTATTTAATCACAAATTGAACCTCCAACTAAATATTCTAAAAGCACACTTATATGCTAACCGTTTTTATCTTCTTAAACGTCAATGTATTTTACTATGTTTTTATGCTTCATTTCTGATAGTAGTTTAACTTCTTTTATAATTTATTTAATATTCTATTTTTTTTTATAATATTTTTAGAATTTATTATCATTTTTTTTTTAAAAAAACGTTTGAATTGTTTTTCTTTTTCTATAGTTATTTAACTGCAATTTTTTCACCTGTTAATTTATTTAGACCTTCAATTACTCTGCCAAAAGAACCGAATCCTATTTCTTTTCCAGCTTTCCATCTTATTGTTTGTTTTCTAGATATTATTATATTTTTTTGTAAAATTTAATAAAAAAATGATATAATTTTAAATTTATTTTACTTTTCATTTTTTTATAATTCCATTTATTATTTTTCTTCTTTTATTAACTATTAGTAATATTCATATTGTTCATCAGTAAAATAATGATCTTAATTATCATCAGTATATTAATACTATTGGTTATCATTTTATTTAATTTATTCTTATCCTTATTTCTATCCTTATTTTTATTCTTATTTTTACACTTATTTTTACTCTTATTTTTATTCTTATTATTATTCATTTTCTTACTTTTTATCTTTTTCTGAAGAGTTGTTTTATATTTCTTATTATTTTATGTTTTATTCGTTTTCTACTTAGTTAGTTGCCTTTGGAGATTATTTATTTGATTTTAAATTGAGTTACTACTTGCATCTTCCTATTTACAAATTATTAAATTTATTTATTTTTGTAATTCTATTTTTTTTTTTATAAATAATTATTATATTGAAAATTTTATATTTTGTTCCTTTTATTTTGCTTAGTTTACTTTTAACAAGAACTTCCCATATTTTTTTTTTTTTTGAAAAATAAAAAATATTTTAATACTATAAGATTTTTTAATATTAAAAAATCAAATATTTAATTAAATTTAATAATAGAGAATTATATCATTAATAATTATTTTAATCTATATAAAATAAAATAAAAAGCATTAATAATTTTTTTAAAATTATATATAAAAAGATTAAATCTCGAAAAAGTCTTATTTTTCTTAATTAAGAAATAAATATTAATGTTGTTCATAGTTTTTTTTAGCTTGTTGGTTATTATAAATTAAAATAAATCAAAATTTAAAAATTATTAATATTTAATATATATACAAAAAAATAAAAATTTAATATCTTCATGAAATTACATTTAAATCTAAATAAAAGTAAATTAAAACTTTTTATAGAAATATAGAAGATATAACATATAAAAAACAATTTTTTTTTTTATATAAATATTGATTTTTTAGTTTTTAATACCAAAACTAAACATAAAACTTAAAAATTGATAATAGATAAAATATAAAAAAAATAAATAATAAAAAAAATATAAAAATAAGATATTAAATATATTAGTTAATTATAATATATTCTTAATTAATAAAAATAAAATATATAAAATATAAAAAAAATCTAATTATAAAAAAATTTATTATATTATTATATTTATTATAAAGGATTATATTAAAATATAAATATAAATTTATATTTATATTTATATTTAAATTTTTATTTTTATTTATATATATATATCAATGTCTAATTTTTTTAAAAATTTTACACTAAACTTTTTTTTTATTTCTATTAGTTCTTTAAAACAATTCAAATTTTCTTTTTTTGAGAAATTAATGCCAAGTTAATATATACCTAATAATTTATAAATTTGCTATTTTGCAAATATTGTTATCTATAATTTAATAAAAAAAATAATATAAATATTTTTTTTAATGTAATTAATTTTTAAAAAATTTTTTTGACAATTAATTTAAAATATAAATAAGAGAAACATTGGTTTTATATTTTTAAAGATAAATATTAGTTTATTTTTTTGGTATTAAATACTAAGATATGATAAAAAATAAATTAAAACCTTAATAGAAACTCATAACTCAACTTCAGTTTTTGTCTTTTGCGAAATTTCAGTCTATCTAATTGATTATAAGTTTTTTTATTTTTTTGAAAAATAATTTAAATTTTTATTTTAATTTATTTATTTGATTAAGATTAAAATAAATATTTTTTGTAATTTATATTTATAAAAAATTTAAATATTATAAATTATATATTTTATAATATTAAAAACAAATATATTTTTAAATGAAGTAAAATAATCAGGAAGTATTATATAATTAATAATTATTTTTAAAATAAATAATTAATTAAGAGATAATAAGGGAATAACTCAAGTCATGGAGAAGAAAATATACCTTTGAATCCTTAATTAAAGTTAGATGGAGCTTCCTAACAATAAAAAATTTCAAATTAATAATTATCATTATAAAATAATTTAAAATATTCAAAATATGTAGCCATAATTACAATTATTATTGATGTAATATTTGCAGAGATTTTATGGTAAATATATATTAAAAAAAGAAAAAATAATTAAAAAAACAAACAAAAAAAGCATGTTGGAAGATGTATGTAATTTTAGTGGTGTAGAAATAAAGTAAGAATTTAGTTAAAGTTTATTAATATTTATGTTTATAACATTCATTTTAATAGCTATTTGTTATAATTTAATAAGTGTATTTAATAAATATTGGTTAAATATGATTAAATTTGTTATTTTCTTATGGGGAATTATATTAATCATATTTGCAATTTTAGGTTTTGTTTATTCTTCTTAATTAAAAAAAAGTGATTTAGATGATGTCTGGAATCGTTTGAGTGACACTTCTAAAATTTATTATTAAAGAAGTTAAGATTAATTATTAAATGCTAATGTGAAGAATTTGATTTTAGCTGCTTCTTATCATATTGTTACGGGTTTTTTTTATTAATTATCTATTTATTTAGAAAAAAATTTAAAGGTATTTTTACTTTAATTTTATTCGCAATTATAGTTAATATTGATATGAGTGAAAACTTTAAACCTAAATCAACATCTATAAGATTAGGTTAAGAATTAGGTATATTTTTTTTTTTATTTAATAAGAATCAAATTATTTAATTTTTTTAAAAAAAGAACTTATAAAAATAGACATGAGATATTAAAAGTCAGATAAAATTAATAAAAGATAGGCTGAATCACCTAAGAAAAATATAAACGATTATGGATAAAATTAATAAAAAAATTATAATTTAGAAGGTGCTCCGGATCCTAAATAATTTCAACATTTAAATAACCCTTATAATAGTTGAAGCATTTACTTTTTTATAAATTATTATATTTTCATATATTTTTTTCTTGTTAACAATTATTTATTTATCATATAATTATATTATTAATTTTTTTTTAAAAAAAGAAATTATAATAATAAAAATAGACGTATACTTGATTTTATAATATAAAATAATTATCATCTAATAAATCTTTCAAAATAAACCTCTTTATCATTACTTTCAACAGTATCCATGAATTCTTTGAATTCCTTTGTTATTTTCAAAAGGTTTTCTTCGTCCCAGTCATTCCAAAAACCTAATGGTTAATCTATACCTATTAAATATTTATAATATAAAAATAATAAAAGAAATGAAAACTTTTTCTTTTTTATTCTTCTTTCATCTCTTCACTATAATAACAATGTTTAATAAATTACTATAATCTTTGTTAATATTTTTATCTATAATTTTCATCTTTATTAGGATTACAAGCTTTTAAAGAGATTGCAATATATTTAAGAGCCGTTTCTTTACAATTTAAAGTTGGGTATTTTATCCTTTTATAACCTTATTTATTTTATTTTTAAAAATAAATAATTTAAAATACCTAATTAAGCTAAAACTCTCATAACAATATTTCCTAAATGATGTTCCAAAAATGCAGTGCAATCTCCTTTTTTTGCAACTTTTTTAACTAAATTAAGAGGATCAAATTAAACAGGCAATTTATCATGTAATTTAATATTTTCGTAATCTTAAGGCATCTATTTGAACCTTACTTGATATTAGGTTGATGAAAATGAATAAATACCTCCTTTGTATTCTACAAGAAGACTTGGTTAGCTTTTTTTTAACTAATCATTTCTTAAAAATCCTGTACAATATCCTTTATTATTTACAGCTTTTTTATTTTTTTTAATTTAAAAAAATAAACAATTTAATAATTTAATATTTTTTAGTACTATTATATTTCTCAATTATATTATCAATAGGAACTTTAGATGGAAGATCATCATCAATATACTAATAAACATATAAATCAGGTCTATTAAGGAAATCATGCAATTCCTATTCATTATCAAGTACATAAATATATCCATCAAAATAAGCAATAAAAGGATGTCTAATATTATTTTAAACGTAAAACTTTTTAGTTTTAAGCGCTACAGGAGAAATGTTTTTAAATGTTGACATATTTTACAGTATTTCGTTTATAGTAAGTCCTAATTATCCTATATTTACAGGTTCATTAGTAATTAAAGCCCTTGAAAATTATTATCTACTCAAAGTAGTTTATCCAATATATAATTTAGCAAGGTCAAAAACTCCCCATTTAGATATTTTGGCATCCAAAAAGCGTACATTATTAAACGTAGTAAGATAGAAATTTTCTAAAATATCATTTTCACATGCTTATAATTTTTCATGCAAAATAATTTGATTATATCCGAATTTGTTTTTATTTTTAGTTTGTTTTTAAGCTCTTTTTTTTATTTCTGAATCATTCAATTATAATGAAAGAACAGCATAAGGAACTACTCCTTTTTATTAGAATAAAATTGCTTATTATTTATTTTAAGGTAATCCATCTAAAACCCATCCACTAGCTTTACAATCAGCCATTTAGACCCTTTATAAAACCAAATCAACAACCTATTAATCAGAAAGAGATTCTCCTTATTAAAGAACTTCTCGAGCATTTTAGTAAGTTAAACAGGGATGTTATGGTCCATAATCTTCTAAAACAGAAGACAATTTTATACGTACTATTCCTAGCTATTCTTCTATTATTTTACTTAATGTAGATTTCCCAGTTTTAGGTTTTCCTATAACAAAAACAATAGGTTTAATATTCACGTCTTTTGGGAAGCAATTATTTTTAATGTATTTCAAAGGCTCTTTTGATGCTTTTAAAACTTCTTCTTCTGAATGGAAATAGTAAATTCTATCTCTATATAATAAAGGGAAATCTTTTATTTTAGGAATTTCCAAAAGACTTAAAGGATTTTTTTCTCCAAATCTACTTTTTCTATATGTGTAACTCTTTTCAAAATATTATAAACGGAAAGGCTTTTCTTCTTCTTCATTTTCCTCTTTTTGGGGTTTTTTGAGGACATAAGTTTGTTATTATTCTAATTTGTTCTATCTTTCTTCCAAAAAGGGTTTTAAATTATAAGTTATTTTATCAAAAACATGCTAGATAGACCTTTCGCAAGTAATTTCAATAACCTAAATACCTAAATCTTCAAAAGCAGTTTTATATTCTTCTAATTTTGCTAAATCAGATTCTCTTTATTCAGTTAATTTTGCTTTTTTCTCGTTTATCATTTCTAATAAATTTGGTGCTTCAGGATCTTCTTGGTCTTCTGGTTCTTCTTCTTCTTCTTCCAACTAAGGCATTTCTTCTCCCTCTTATAAATTTGCTGCTAATTCAGCTAATTTTTCTTAACGAAGCCTTTCTTTTTCTCTTTGTTTCTCTAAACGTCTTTCTTCCATCTTCTTATTGTAAAGATCTTCAATTTCTTTTTAATTAAATTATCTTTCCATGAAATTTTTTTCATCAACTTTTAACAAAAGTACACATTCTGGTAATTTTCGAGATTCAGATAGAAGTTCAGGTAAAGACATGGAAATTAAATCTTCTTCTAAATCAAAGAAATTCCCATTTATAAAAACTTATTTTACATCACTCATTATTAATTTCATTAAGCGAATTTCTTCAATTCTTTTGTCGAAATCAGCTGCTTCTTCTTTTATTTCTGGATCTTCTATTATATTTCCTTCCTCATCTTTTTCTTAAGGCTTAAAACCTTTCTAGAATACACGATCTTATCTTCTCTAAATTTTTTAAAAATAATAATTATATATATATATATATATATATATTTTTTTTTTAAATTAACTTTTTCCTTTTCATTAAGAATATGATTAATTAAATTCTATTTTAAATCCATAACTGGAATTTTATATTTTTCATAAAGTTTTTATAATTAAGTATGTAAACCAGAACCTCTAACTCCCATAAGTAAGATACGAGGTGGAGGTAATTCTAAATGATGACTACCATCAACATATTTCCAAGTATTTTCTTAGAATTTCTTTTTTTGTTCTTCTGAATAAAATTTATGTCTTTTGCCTCTTACAATAACTTCGTTATCTCCTCTACCTGGCACAAGCCATTATTCATCCTTTAATATATTAGAATTACATAAAAATAATAATATGAAAATACCTTAAAAATAATAGGGCAATAACTACCATATTCACCCCAAGTAATAGGATCATCTTCCTCTCCAACATCAGCTGGATATCTAGCTAATTCTTCAGTATCGAATCGTATAAAAAAAGGATCTAATTAAACTCTAATTCTATTATAAACTTCCAATTCGGTACCTTCAATGGGAATTTCTTTAACAGAATCTTCACTATACTGTTCTTTTAAAACTGCTGTTGCATCAGTTATGTATTTAACTTCGTTTTCAATATTAAGAACTTAATCTTCCATGTTTTTTATAGTTTTCAGAACTTTTCCTTCTTCTTCTTCTCCTTTATCATTCAAAACAATAATCTTGTCGAGCAAAATATTATGATATTTAAGCATACTAATTTCTTATTCATTTGTAGGATAACCAATTATACACAAACCTTAAACAGGCTTTAATTTACCATCAGGTTAAATAACTTAAATTAAATTCTTTAATGATAAGTCTTCTATCGGAGGTGTTACAGGTCTTTCATCATCAACTTCTTTTTTCGCGCCTTTCTTATTCATTTAAGCTTTTTTTGTAGCTGCCTTTTTAGCTGCTTATTCTGCTGCTGCCTTGGCTTCTTCATCCAATTCTTATTCGTCTTCGTTTTTCTCTACACCCCAATTTTCAGGCTTTTTTTATAAAGTAATTCCTAATTTATGTAAAACTATTGGCCATATATCTTTTGCTGAAATCAAACCTCCCTATTAACAAAAATAATAATTTAAATAAGTTTTTTTTTTAAAAATAAAAAACTTTTTAAATATCTTTCCATTCTTCAGCTGAAAAATGAATATGGTTAATTTTCGAATCAAAATTAGAAACTATATGTTACCCTATTTCAATTTCTTATTACTTTTGCCACTCAAGAATTTCCCCAATAATAGCTTCCAAATCAACAACCAAGAATCCGTATTAATCCGCAAGTTTATTCGCCATAGTTTTTTTCCCTGATTATCTAGGTCCAATAATAGCAATATTGTATGTTTTAGGTAACTAAGGTTCTTTTTACAAATATTTTCTTGCATTTCTTTCAAATGCGTTTTGATTTTCTTCATTTTCGAAAAGGAAAACTCTTCCAGCGTAATCACAAGCAAATTCCCCTTTTCCTATCAAAAGTCTTCCTTTACTTAATTCTACAGGATCTACTTATTGCCAAGGAGACCATTTTCTAACCATTTTAGTTTCTTCCAAACCTTATGTAAGAAGATCTTTTTCAGAACCTCCATCAAGTTTAACAGCTAAAGGTCTTAAAGGTTAAACTTCATCACCAAGACATTAATATATATATTCAACAAGTTCCTCATCTGATTATCCATTTAGGTTGACTACAATATGCTCATTTTCAGTTAAATGTTATAAAAACTCATTTGCGCGTTTTCTTTAAAGATTATTATATTAATTCAAATGTTCCTTTAATATTTATTCAACTTCACAAGGTCGATAAAGCATTTCGTTTTCAAATAGAGGTTTTTTCCCCTCTTCATCTTCTTCATTTGCTTCTTCTTCTTCAGGGACCTCTTCTCCGTCATCATTTAATCTTTTTTTAGGTTATCTTGAAATTTCTCTTTCTCTTTCTGAAAAAATTTTCAAATTTTCTCCATATAACTCCATAACAGATCCTCCAAACTTTAATACATCATCATCTTCACATGAAAATTCTATTATATGTGAAAAATATCTACATCCAATTTTAGGTAAAGCGACTTTATTTTTAATTATAGCATCAATCCAATCTACTTCCCCTTAAGAAAAACACAAAGGAACATCCAAAATGAATCCTTTGTTTTAAGGTAAATCATTCTAAAGTTCATTATTAATTAATTCAATCAAATTATTTCCCGATATACTTTTTCCTTCTAACAATTCCTTAACTATTTCTTTTTCCCAAGGTAAGCTTTTATCAGGTTCTTCTTCTGTTGCATTTGCTTCATTTTCTTTTACTCTAATCATTAATTTTTCTATTAGAAAACCTGCTTCTATATGTATAATATCAATCTTTTTTTATAATAAGGAACAAAATTTGCTTTTTCCAGTTTTTGGTTTACCCATTACCAACATTTATAAAGGTCTTTTATTTGCATATTCTAACACATCCTCTTTATAAGCATCTAATGTATCCTGGGGTATTTTTCCTCCTTTAGAAATAAATTATCTGAATTATAAAGTATGATCTGAATTTTACTTTTAATTTTCTTATTTTAATTCTTTTAAGCTTATTTTTAATTTACTTTAATCTATATGATTTTATATTTATTTTATTAAATTAAAGTCTAAAGTTCTGATGTATTCTTTTAAATCCTTTGGTCTTTTTTTATTCCTTTTCTTGTTTTCTGTATCTATTAACTTCCTTCTCTATGCATTTCTTAATTTTTGTTTTTTGTGTAGCTAATCTATTTAATCGACTTCTAAATCATCTATACTATAGAAATCACTTAGAATATTAAATTTTGATTCTATTCCAGTTTTATCTTTTATTTTAAAATAAATATTTAATCTTATACATACATGCATTTATATGTTTAATTACTTCTTAAACTTTCAGTTGCAAAAGGATGTCCTAAATATGAATTAATTCTATGAAGCAATTAAACATTTTATTGATATTTTTATAAATGAGCACCTAAACAGCCTATCATTTATATAACTTCATTTTGATTTAATGCAATTTCAAGGCTTTTGATTAAATTGTGTTAATTTTCACATGCAATTACTAGTTTTACTCTTTAAAAAAAAATGAAAAAAATAAATATTTTTTTAATCTATAAAAAAAAAAAAGTGATATATACTATTCTAATAAATGAATATTTTTTTAAGGTAAATGAAAAAATTCAGAATTTGGTATCTTTTTGTATTTATTTTATTAATAATATATTTATTATATATATTTACAGCAAAGTTATTAATATTAATAGCATGAATAGCATTTTCTGCTGAAAATCCAAGTGGTATAATTTAATTCTCATCAATTATATTTCTTTCTAGAACCAAATCTTCCCTTTCATTCAATGATAAAAATAATTATTAGTCATGAAGTACTTATTCTTCGAAATAAACAATATATTAAGGGAAATCATTTCTTTAACTTTAACTAAATTATTCTTCTATTTAATCTCTATTATACAAATAAACCTTAATTTTGTAATTTAAATGTATTTAACTATTATCTTTAATTATATTTTTAATTTTTATTATTTGAACAAAAAATAAAAAATACCATAAACATTTCTAAAAGTTGAAGTTGTAGTTCTATCATAAATTAAATCTAAAAATGATTAATAGGATTAAATATTAAGGTTTTCGATAAATCTTACTGCTAGATTTGCAAAAAACTCACAAAAAAATTCAAATGATAGTTATTCTTTATCATTATGTGTACAAATTTTATTTATTTCTTCTTTTGCTATGTAGATTAATAATTCTTTATCTTAAATATTTACAAGGAATTTAAATAATATTTAAACATACTATATTTATTAAAAAATGATTATTATTTTTAAATAAATAAGTTTTCTATATATTTTTATTTGCCTTTTAAAATTATTCTCTTTGAATATATCCTGAGTAATTAATATGAAATAATTTCCAGATTTTAATCAAACTTTCTTAACAAGTTTGATTTATTTTTATATTATATGTTAGTTGTAATAATGATTCTCCTTGCTATTCGCATATCATGTCTTATTTTTTGTTTTTTTTATATATATTAGCATTTTTAATTTATTTTTTTTACTGTTTATAAAGATTTTTTAGGACATTTTTTTAAATATTTTATTTAATTATTTATATTTTATTTAATTGAAATTTAGGAAGATAAATGCTTTTTAAAATATTTTTTTATTTTTTTTTATATAAATAAATAAACAGTTATATTTATTATTAAAAAATAATTATTTTTTCAATTTATAAGTAATTATTATTATATAAATTATTTTTTTCTTGATAATATATTTTAAAAATATTATAAAAACAGCAATAACAAATTAAAATAATAATTTTTTAACTTAGCTTAAAGGCATAAATATATAAATTCATACATTCAATATAAAAATTAATTATAAGAATATTTATTTCAAAGTTTTCTTTTTTATTTGTTACATTAGATTCAAACTTTCGAAAAATAATAATAATAATAAATATAAAATACTTTTCAATAAAATTGAAATAAAACTCAAACTATTTTTATAATAGCAAGATAAAATTATGTCTCAATAAGCAAACATATAATTAAAAATATAAGTATTTGTTTTATTTTATTTTTATGTAAAATTTTTTTAAATTACAAATGCATATTAATATATTTATACAAACACTATTTAATTTATTACCTTCTATAGATTTAAAATTGTAAATAAAAATAAATTAAATTTAACTTATAAAATTAATTAACTAAAAAAAAAAAAAAAATAACATGTTCTTATTTAATCATAAAGTTTTAAAATATACATTTTCAATTTCATTAGTTAAATCTTAACTATTCATTTTATCTTAATCACTAAGATGAAACTAACCAGACATTTCTTCACTTAAAGAAGTAAAGTCGCTTTCAATAATTTATTAATTTAAGCTTTCTTAAAAATTATTATTAATATTTATATTTGAAGAATAACTTTTTTAAGATAGTTTATTAAATTATTCAATTGAGCTTTATTGACTCTAAATAGATTCATATTAAATTTCAAAATAGTTATTGAATTCATTTATAAATAAACTTTAATTTATTATATTTTGTTATTCTTCAGGTTAATAATATTATTTTTTTTCTTGTTCTTATATAATTTTTTTATTAGATAAAGTGTTTAAAAATATTTGCATTAAACCTTATTATTAATTAAAATCATATATTTTAAGAGATTTATAAAAATAACGCAATAATTTATGTTTTCCAATCAATTAAGCAAGTTTATATAATAGATTTTGAATTCTCTATTCTTAAAATTCGTTTATTTTATGTGTTTTAAGCTTTATTTCTTATATCATATATTATATTTCAATATTCTTATCAAGCTTATTATATAATATAATATATTTATATTTTTTTTTTATTTTTTTTAATAACATTCGATATATCACCATACAATATTAAGTAATATTTAAGTTTATCATCCAAATAAATAAGAGATATTTTTATACATGCATGATTATTTCTAAAATCAAAAATAAATCAATATTTATATTTTGTAAAAAAAAAAAATACTCTAAAAGATTTTATTTTCTTTAAAATTTATAAAAAAGTTCCGGAATTTAATTTAAATCAATATTAGCAGGTATTAAAAGTATTATATTTTTACAAAATTTGCTAGCTAGACACATAGTTTATAATATATCAGTTTTAGAATGTTTAAAAATATCTATTTTATTATATAAATTATCAGTATTTTAATTTTTTTATTTAATAAAGCTTTTTGTTTATTCTTAATAAATAGAAGGATTAATAATAATATAGTCAGGTCTAAATTTTTATAAATGCTCTTCTTTTAAATTTAAAAAATCTTAGCAAAGAAATTCAATATTATGATTTTCTGGATTAAAAAATTAACAATTTTATTAACAGCAAATTAAATTATTTATTGAATTATCTATACAAATTAAATAAGATGCTGCTTTTTATAACTTAAAAAATATAATAAAAATAAAATAAAAATTACTTAAATTGCACATCCTCCGATTCCACATGTAACATCAACAATAATAGAGTCTTTTTTAAGCAAACTTGCTATGTAGGAAGCTATTTTTTCAGGAGTGAAATTATATTTGTTTTCGTTTGTATTTACAAGAGGTTTTTAATAATAAAAATTATATTTTTCTTTTATTTTTTATTAAGAAAATTAATAAGTTTTTAGGTTTTTTAATTTATTAATTTAATTTATTTAAGCTTAATTTTTATTAAGATAAAATCTTTATTCTTGCTTAAAAGCAAGAATTTGATAATTTTTTTGTTTTGTATTATATCCACTTTATTATGATTAAAATATAAATACTTAACTATCAACTGGTATAAAATATTAATTAGATATAGATTTTTGATAAATATTTAATTTTTATATTAAATCATAATTCTTATCTTGCCATATTTATTAATAAAATTATTAACATTATAATATTTTATTATTTTCGTCATTTTTTATATCATTTTTTTATTCTTCATATTCATTTTTTTAATTTGTTTTTAATTAATTTTACTATATTGTTTAAATATCTTTTTTATCATTTATTTGCTAGTTAATTTTATTTTTTTCGTCACTATTTATAGTATCTTTACAAATTTATAATTGAGTATTTACTGTATAAATCGATGATCCTTTAGGAATTGGAACACTATTTCTTTAACTAAAATCTTCAGGAGGTGGATTGGAACCACAAAGATTACATTAAAATAGTTTTTGTAAAAAACTCTACTTTAAATTTAAAGATTTTTTATTAGTATTTATATTCATTTATTTGATAATATTTTTAAATAAATAAGTATTAAAATTATAATGTCTTTAATTATATAATTCTAAAAGAAACTTTAATTTTTATTGTAATGTCGAAATAGTATAATTTATATATTAATAATATTATTACATAAAATTTTATAAACTATATATATATGTATTATTATTATAAAAATTTAAGATATTTTTAGTAATATATTTATCAAATATAATAAGAAAAATAATTATTTAAGATAAAAATTAAAAATATATAATCAAATATATTATAGATATGATATGGTTTATTATTATGTTATATTATGGTATTTTTAGTTTAAATTTGCACAAAATAATTATTAATAATAATATAATTAAATTAAATTAAATTAAATTAAATTAAATTAAATTAAATTAAATTAAATTATAATATTATTTTAATTTTATATTTGTATTAATTTATTATTATAAACCAAATATTATATTTATTAATTTTTTTTATTTATATAATAATATTATAATTTATTTTTAAAATTTTTATAATTTAATTATATTTTTTATTATAATATTTATTAAACATAAAAATTATATATAATTATAATTAATAAATGAATTTTACTATTTAAGATTTGTTTTTTATCATATTTCTTTGATTTATATTAATATTTTTATATAAATTTATTCACTTTTTTAATTATATAATTTATACTATTAATTATTCTACTACTTTTTATTATTTTGATTATTATTTATATTGAATTTATTTTTTGTTATTAATTATATTTTATCATAATTTTCTATTAATAAAGTAATTAAAATTTAAAATAAACTAAAAAAGCAGATAAATAAAATATATTTATAAAATATAATTACGTTTATTTACAATTTGTATATTATTTTACTTCATATTATAATATATTGTAATATTATTTTGTATAAAATTATAAATATTATATATATTAAAGTTTTAAATACATTAATTTTATAAATATGTTAAATGTGTTATTTAACTCATAATTTATTTTAATTATCTAAGTTTAGTAAATAATTTGGTAAGGTGAGCTCTAAACTACACTTGTTAACAAAAATTACCAAAAAACTTTAAAGACATACTCAATTTTTGTTGAACATTAAAGTCTTTATTAGCAAGTTGAAACTATATACCTGTATTTTAATATATCATAATAATTTGTAATTTGAATAAATAATAAAAGTTTACTTTAAGTTTACAAATTAATTTTTATAATAAATAAATTATATGCTAAACATGAATACAGTCTTAAAAACTATAATGATATTTCTAATTTTAATATATGTACTTAGAATACATATTGTAGATTTTAATTTTAGGAAGTTTAATAATTAAAAAAAAATTTAAAAAGAATCAATTAAAGTATTTCTTGCATTTAAGCAAATTTAATAATAATTGTAGATCTTTATGTTTTTTTTTTATTATTATTTTTTATAGAATATTATTAAATTTTATATTAACTATTATAAATTTTTATAATTTGTGTTTGAAATTTCTTAAAAATTAAATATAAATAAATAATTAGGATATAATTAAAAATATTTTATAATATAAATAATTAAGATTTATTTAAAATAATAAACAATTATAGATGATTTATTTTTAGATTACTTAAATTCTTTTTAAAAAAAAGATACTAGGACATAATAAATTAAAAACTTATAGAGTAATTTATTAAAAAAAATATGGACATGGTAGAAGAAAATTATAATTAAGAAATAAATTAAATTCAGAAAAAATAATAATTTAATATAAATAACATTATTTTGTATAAATACATTTATATTTTATAAATAAATAAAATTTATATCATTATTGTCTAAAAAAATTTTTATTATATAATTTATTATATATATATACCAAAAATTAATTTATACTAAATTTATATTTTAAAATAATATATATTTTTTTTTCTTTAAATTAATTTATATTTGAAACTAATTTTTATTATATAAATATTATATTTATACTTTCTACTGTATATTTAGAAACGTCGCTTTTTTTTTTCATTATATATCTATTAATTTTAATTTTATTTTATTTATTAATAAAATAAGAAAATTTCAAAAACTTCAATAAAAATATAAATTATAAATATTAAAAAAATAAATATATATATATGGATAGAGTTTTTCATTTTTAATCTAAACTATAAATATCTCAAAATAAAAATTAATAAAATTAATAATATTTTTCTGACATTGAGCATGATAATGATAATTCAAATTAATAAAAAAAAGAATTATTAATAAAAAAAAATCCTTAAGTAAAAAATTTTAAATTGTTGACTGGATATGCTACAGATGAAACTAATTCTGATTCTGAATAATAAGTGAAAACTAAAT